GTAGATTCGCATACAAATTGATTGGTTAGAAATCTACCACAACCATCATATACTTAAGGAATGCGACGGATAAAGAATTAATCAAAGCATTTAATATGCTTGAATTCCTTGTTGCTATTAGTATCATAAACTGTAAATTAAATATATTTGAAAGATAAGGTTCATGGGGAGTGGTACACAATAATTGTAAGGAATTATTATTATCAATATAACAACAATCTACATGTATTCTAATGACAAAGAATGATTAATTTTTTTGAGAATTTGGACTGGATCTTTGTAATACATGCCATGTGTTTTTAGCTGAAATTTTTAAGTCTCCAAAAAAATCAGACATCAACCGTTAAAGATATACGCAGCCGAAACCTACACTGCGGTCATCTGAAAGAACTATTCACAGTACATAAGTGGCAATGATTTGTTGAGTTGAAACTTAACTGGACCGCTAAATACCCCAAATGTTTCTATTTTAGACTGCATGTGTATCAAATTTAAAAAAAAGTAAAAAAGGCATGAAGTAATGCATCTGGATCATCATGACTGAATTAGTGTATTAGTGAGTGGGGTTATATAACTGCAACCTTAGATTACCAGTATATTACCGCGTTCTCATAAGAAACAGTTGCACTTGATAATAAGTTTAACAACAACAATAACAAACTTAACTGCCTTAAATTTATTTACTTGAATTAACTGCCTAAAAATTTTTCACACATTTCAAGCCATCCTTTGAAATAAAATAAACGTGAATACAGTGGACAGTGGCACTCAAATTCTCAAATTCAGTTTAGGATTTCAATGCAAAACGCTCTTTGTGAATGGTTGCCAGTGTTGTTCTCTCCAAGGGGTTGAAACTTTGTCATATTCACATCCCTTTGCACCTTTGTTTTTAAGCCTGCATGTAATACGTAATAGTTGCATCAGTGCAGATACCCTCCTTTTAAGGGGGATTAAACTCCACCATATTTAAGCCTCTTTGTGCTTGCATAACATAATCCTCTGTTTTTCTCTTACGACGACATACCGCCGGTAAGCTACGTACTGTATACTTACTTACAGGTTAGGCCAGATTATGTTTTCTTAAAATGACTTACACTGAGTGAAAAAAATTGGTTTTATTTATATATTCTATTTTATATGTTGTTTCATACTGTATTCATTATTTAGTGTAGAAGTATAGGATGAAATTTAACAAATTAAAATAAATCAACTATAATACAACTTAATACACCAGACATCAGAGTTAGTGATATTGAGATGGAAAATTAGTCATATACCATATAGAAGCTCATCTCTGAATAGCATGAAACATAAATCAAAAATAGGATTTACTCAGTAACTGTATACTGGATCATTAAAATATGACATAACTCTGTCATTTACGTAAGCCAATAGTGTTATTACCGTATTTGCTCTATTAGTAGTGCATGCGCTTACATGAATTACAATGGTAAAAATAAGTAATATTTTAATAACGGATGCAGTATAAAATAACAACAAATGCAAGTGTTGGTTTATGTGTGCTGCTATCGGAGATGCGCTTCTAATAGAGCAAATATGGTATTACGAACTTTAATATTTTCTGAATGTCATTTAAATGACGGATACTTAACCATTTATTTTCATTAGGAATTTTTCATTCACAATGAACATTGATAGTTGTATTGATATTTTTTATACAAAAAGATTATTTGTACAAGACACAATGAGAATAATCAATAACCATCGATGTGTAATGTATTCCTAAACGCAACATTCAATGAGTATCTAATCTTGTGTGCTAGTCTATTGGCTAATTAGAAAACAGGTGTTAATTGCACTATTATATGTTGTTTATGTTGATCAATACAATTCTTCGCAAGAAGTAGACAGTAGTGCAACTCATTAAGCTTGACACATGTCCTGATGAAAGCATTCAAGGATAGCCAAAATGAACAGTAAAAAAACAGTGTCAGTAGACGATGAATCATTAATTACAATAATCATTATGGAACGGAAACATCAGAGTCTCTCACAAACAATTCTCTAAGAGTGAGTATACTTTGACAGAACTAAACGATACAGGTACATTTCACCAAAATGATGCGGGATATATTGTACGAGGCACAAATGACGTGACAAAATAAAACCGGAGCAACAAAGACTAATTATAGCATTGATGGGTAACATCAAGAATCACTCATTTTAAAGCACAGTCTATAGAGGGACTGCGATGTAACTACTAGCTTTGGTGATCAATTATCTTTAACGACCTCTTAATTATACACAGGCACAAAACAAGGTTCAATTTTTAGGGGACAATAATTGCTATAACAAGAATCACTTTTACTGAGCACATACTCCACGGTATCCATGACAATGGTATTGTTGTCAGTTTCCTGCTACTGGTCTGGCTTTAATCCCAGACAACTAATAAATTATTAATTAGTTGTCTGAGCTTTAATGCAACCATAATGTTGATTAGAATACATGTATGCATGGTCATCAAATCAATCGTCATTAATCACGTTCTTTCAGACAGCCACAAATGTCAACGATACCAGGTTTATTTTTATTTTTTTTCGTCAAGTCATGGTTCCCACAGTGACACTCTACATAGCAGAATAGTCGCAGTAATGTTTTTTTGTTGTCGGTTGTGATTGTCTAACAACCATTGTCAAGTGCTGTCGCTTATGATACGCTAATCGTATCTCAATACCGATAGAACTCAGACAAAACTATATATTAATCAAGTAGTGCCTATTTGAAATTATTCTCTTCAAATAATTAAAAAAAAGACAGGTGCCGATGTAGAATGGCTTTGATCATGTCATTCAAACATATTATTTTCTGTCAATAGGCTTGATTATATTAAATTTTATTTAGCGTGTATTTGTAAATCAATTCTCTGAAGGTAAGCAAATTGAATTAATGAACACTAGTTTTACACAATGTAAAGCAATCATAATAAAATACAAGTTTCTAGGCATCAAAAACTTTTATGTAAAATTGTTTTGTTCGCATCGATTCTGTTCTTTATTATTATTTATAAGAGATTAGAAACATAAGATTTAGCGACATATTCGGGAAGACTGTTTCACATTGATTAATACAAAGTAAAATTTAAAGGGCGGCAGTCGTTGTGCCGCGTCCTGTTCTATATGGGACTCATAGCGACATATACAACGCATGTAAAATACATTGTTTATTTACATGAAATTCAAACACGCGCTGCGCGACAACCCACCTTGCTTTAAGTTATAATTTCTGCACAACAATTTGTAATGTGACGTAAAACCTTATGATTACAAATATGGCAAAATATAATAATTTATTTTAAAACGTTGGAGTATTTGTACAACAAATGTGCAAATTTGGCTGTAAATGAAAATCCAGTGAAAAAGAACACATCGCCTAATACCAGAGTGCACAGGTACTGCAAGACTGTATGAACCAAGAGTTTAATACTTGTCAACAGTTGCTTAGCTACTGCCCCTGTTTATTAACTTTATATATGATCTGATTTTCAGTATACACTATAATCCCTATATACATTATCCTATGCTAGTATGTGACTTTGATTTATAGTCAGAGTATCTATATACAGTAGTGTTTATAGCTGAGTATGACATGGTAGTATGGTGTACATGTTTTTTGCCTCAAATCTACCAAGCAGAAATTCAAAATCTATTTCTCGAACCATGAGTTGTCAATTAAATTGTTCAGTGAGCTGTTGAATAAAATGTTTGAGTCACAGTTGGCACGAAAGCCTATTTTACACTCCTCGAAGGGTGGACTGACCTGGAATGTGAATCGTTAAAAAAAGAGTCGCGTGGACACGACATGTAGTCTTTAGCTTGTCGTTTTGTTGTACACTTATTGGGATTTTTTGTACCCGCTCTGCGGAACGTACGTGGGTCAAAAGCAGGCATTTGGCGGAAAGCTTGTTGTACAAGGAGCAGCAGCTAGCACATTATTTAACTTAACAAATCATGCGAGTGGTCACGGTTCGATTTTGTGAATGAAAACAGAAGCAACGAAAAAAAAAACACACTTGCCTCGACGAGTTGTGTCCTCGCATTTGGCTTCTTTGTACCGATTTCTGAGTACCTAATCACATAAAAGTAAAGAAATGTTTACCAATGAGTACAAGGAACTGACATTGTTATATTATTAGAAAGAGGAGGGCACGAAGATAGTGTACACCACAAAGACCGAGGCCATTACGGCAACTCAACAATAACATGTGGGTGTATGTTGGTCTTTTCAATAAAACTAGCTGAGTCAACTTGTCGAAAAAAAAACTAAATAGATTGTAAAACATACAGTAACCAACATAATGGTCGCATGTTTGCTGTGGACAGTGTCTAAAGTTGAGCCATTTTAATTCGTTTGCGAGTGACGACAATCTCTATTCATATTCAGTTGTTTGCAAGGTTTATCGATTGGTTGCTCGCGCTCGCAGCAGGCGATGGAACTACTCCGTGGTAATATCATAATCGGTCGAATACTCACCCAAGTTTCTTGAATCGTTCAACACCACCAGCCACATAAGGTTTTCCATTTTCCAGAGTATCTAGCCTATCAACACGATGTCCATTGATCGGCGTGTAAATGCTTCTAATTGCAGCATTGGCACGGATCCCCGTCGTAACTTGCGTCAAGAACGAGTCATAGTTTCGGATCTGTTTCTCGTTAACCACGAATTTTCGTCCAGGGTAGAATGGGTCACCATTCTTGTATATACGAATGCTCTTTGCAGTAATAAGCTCCGTCCTTGTAGACATTTTGGTCGTGCTACCGTCGGAAATCTCGAATAACTATCGATATATCATGACACACGTGAAACAGCCTGCCAAAACTTCTGCTCTAAAAAACTATGATCGCAAAATCGAGAGTTGCGCGATGCATTGTGGGTCGTGTTTATTGTTTACGATCTCCCGTAGTTTGTTAGGGACATCTCGTCGTCAAGGCGATAATTATTCGTTGACTTAATTTTTAACTATTATATAAATATGTTTCTTTGCACGTATTTTTTACAATGACACGTGCATCGTACTGCAGTTGGTTTTCGCTTTAAAGAACTGACCGCATAGTTGAGTAATTGAGATTCCTGAGCGCAAAGTTGAGTTGCTAGGGAACTTCGGGTGAGCGAATATCGAGGGACAAACGCGGGCGCCGTCGGCCTCGGTTCAGTTCTCGCAGGCAAACCATGTAAGGATATAAAGTAAACTATGTTATACCATTAA